TTTTTTTTTTTTTCTTTTTTTTTTCTTTTTTTTTGGTTGGAATTCAGTTGTGATTATCAGCAGTCTTTAAAACACATATGGCTACCTGCCAGCTCGGATGAGAAGACTCGTCACCTTTTAGTGTTGAAAAAGCAAGCGCAGAAATTTTTCTTCACTTTCAAACAGAAAGCAAACAAAAATTCAGAGATATATCAACAGAAATGTCCAGGTACTAACAATATCCATCCAAAGAATCACAGAATCACAGAACGTCTGAAGTTGGAAGGGACCTCTGGAGATCATCTAGTCCAACCCCCGCTACCCCGCTGTAGAAGGGTCACGTAGAGCATGTTGCCCCGTACCTTATCCAGGCAGCTTTTGAATATCTGCAAGASACTCCACAACAGCTCTGGGCAACCTGCCTGGCTCCTCCTTCTTGAACTTTTTGAAGACTGGAGTGCCATTAGCTTTCTTCCAGTTCTCAGCACCTCTCCAGTTCTGCAGGTGCCTTCAAAGATGATTGACTGAAAGTGACTTTGCAGTGACATCTGTCAGCTCCATCAGTACTCATAGGTGCATCCCATCAGGGCCAAGGGGTTTGCCTAAATGATCTAATCCCATCCTCCCTGACCAAGGAAAAGTGTTCCTTTCTCCAGACTTACTCCCTGGTGTCTAGGATTCCTTAGCAGTAAAGATTGAATCAAAGGAAGCACTCACTATCTCTGCTTTCTCTGTATCCTTCATCAGCATCAACCCTGAGGCTTCATCTGATAATTGTCTGAAATTAACAGCCTTCATCCTACATATAAAATGATAACATTTCTTTAGTCTAAACACATAATAGACTAAAACACATAATACTCTGAAATTGTGCAGAAATTGTGTGAATCCAGCACTGCCTGAACTGTTATAATTCCATTCAGAACAAACTGACAGCTGAGAGCAAGTTGCTATCTCAGTTCATTTCACAACTACTTGAAAGCAGCAGCACTTTAAACCCAATCTTAATGCAGGCAGACTCCCTTAATTCCGAGTGGTTCACAAAAACATTGGAGTGTGGCATTTATTTTGGGCCAGTTCACCATGCACTGTGCAGAACTGATACCGCCCATTTAGCTCTACAGAAGGCTGATAGGCTCTGGGTTAGATCTGGTCTGGTAGCACTACCAGTGAGAATAAGGAGTTTGGCTTTATCACAGTTATTGTAAGTTAGAAGTAGCAGCAGTCATTTCCAAAGGGGCAGAAAAGCTAAAGGAGATGCAAGCACCTTGCAACAGGTGTGTTACTAAAATATAAAACTGTTGTCACTCTTTGTATTAAACTATGGAAACGTGATAAAACCATCGTTAGCAGTTCTGTCAGATAAATATCAGTAATACATTCCATGAATATGCTTGTAATTGCTTACGTGCTGCCTTTCATTCAGTGTGTTTATAACTCGCGTTAACCACTAATTAGTCCCTTTAAAGCTCACCTATAAGTGGAACTTTAATATTAGGTGTGACTGAAATATGGCTGGACATGCAGACTAGCCCCAAGGTAGCGCACAGCTAATGGAATGATGGTAACTTCAAATGGCAGCCCTTCAGCAACTGCTTTGATATTTCATTTTGGAGAAGTGTCCAAAAACATGTGGAGACCTGTGTGGAGGTTACAAATCTCTCTCCACATGTCTTGTGAGGCAGATTTCGACTTCTGAGGAGAGTCACAACAGATGCTTGTTCTTGCATCTTACTTGGTGCTTGTTTTCTTTGCCAGTTGCTGACTCCTGCATATTAAGCCTGGCTGCTCAAGTCTGAATGCTGGCACGTAAGAACGCCAACTATCACTTATTTGACTCATTTGAAAATTGTGACATGTTTATCCAATCCAAGCTAAGATTTCCCTTATGCCTTACCACTACCTACCTCACAGATTTTATCTCTTCAGTCTTTGCACTGATCTTCCCCTCTGCCGTCAGCTATTCCCACAGATGTGTGCAACAACTTTCTTTGTAGCCTCTTTCCTTGAGAGCAGCCAAGTTTGTCCCACCTGGCTTTTTGTATCTTTGCAGATCTCATGAGAAAGATTCTTCCTCAGTTTTCTCTTTTCGTCAGACATAATGCTTGTATATTCACTCAGTAACAACATTACTATTGCTATTCTGTAAGTGTATTATGTCAACAGCATAAAACATTTTATGCGTGTGTGTGTGAAAGACAAAGTTCTAGTGACTTTTGTATCTAATTAATTATATTTGCCTTTCCTGTTTTCCATGCCTTCATCACTTTATCTAGTCACAGCAAACCATAAAACTTGCAACAGTCAAAAAGTGATCATATAACTTATCTTATACTGTTTTCCAAGCCATAAAAACTGATAATAAGATTTATCAGATATGCCAAGCAAGTACTACTTACTGGCAGAGTGTTTGCTACTAAGGTTTGCCTTGACATCTGACAGCTCTGAGTTTGAACTCCTATTACCTGACCAGTTAATTAATTGCTCCTATACCTGGTAATGAGGCAAAGGAGCAGCACGGTGAGATTAGGTTGTAGTTTGTTGGGGGGGGGGGGGTTCCTTTGGTTTTGTTTTTCTTTCTGCTACTGCTGTTTTTAGTAAAGCTACAAGTAGCTACTTCAGCTCTCAAGTGGCCTGCCAGAGGATTCAGAAAGGTACCTTAAGTCAAGCACATAGCCATGCTGGAAAAGAAAAGATACCGATGACCTCTTTGGTGTTACACAAGTAACAGAAATCTTCTGAACACTCTGGTAATTTTTTTTCAAGACCAGAGAAGATCCTAAATGTCATTCACATCCGCAATCAAGGTTCGTTTGGGATTCACACTGAGAGCACAGGCCAAGCTCTTGAGCCTGGATGCATAAGGGCTTTCCAGCATCCTTTCTCTAAACAAAAACATAGTCAATGGGAAACAAGTGGCCAGCTATGAAAAATAAGTTGGAAGGACTGTGCAATCACTTGGGCCTGCTAGGAGCCAGGGGAGTGCACGAAGGCAACTCTTTTACATACTTTCTAACCCATTTTTCTGGTATGTGGGATAGAGATGACACAATCTGCTGCAAGATGCTCAGGCAGGATGCATGGGAAACAGAGCTTCCAAATTCAGCTCTGTAACCTGTGGCAGAACCGCTGTCCCAGGCAGGGGTTCATCTGCGGTGTGGAAAAGAAGTGCCTGATCTTTAACAGCCCATACTGCAGCTCACAAGAAACACTTCTCCATCAACAGTCTTTCTAATCTTATGCTTCTTCTGTAGCCCTGCTCTGCAAGCCCTTCCTCAGCCTTAGTCCTATTGGTATCTTCCAGAAAACACCAGCAGATCATCTGCAAGTATTTGAGCCAGTCTCTCAATCCTTAGATGTAGGGAATGCAAACAGGAGACTGACATACATGTATCTTCCTCTAAAGAGTTTAGTGACTATAAAGTGACATTTTTTTGAATTTTCAAGTCAATCAGACCATGAAAATACTAAATTCTTCAAAGATTTGCTGTGAATCTTAAGCTCTTCTCTTCCTCCTCAAATTCCTTCTAGCAAGCATGTGCTTCATGCCCTAGACTTCAAAATGTTTGTGCTTGTAGTTTCAGCCCCACACCCCACCTTTGCTTTTTTTTTATATATAATTTTCTTCTGTGTATATATTAAATGCTATATGTTCTTCAGTTAGTAACATTTCAGCATGGTTATATTTAGAAGTGTGCCCTGTATGAACTATCTGATTTTATTGTTTTTATAATATAAAAAATATACTTCAAATATGCCTATTTCTGCATCTTAAATGACAGAGAAAGCTGTAAGTATATGTGTGTTTTAACGTCTTTGTGTCCTTTCTCTTCCTGTTATTTATGAGAAATGTCTTTTTCTAATGAAAAACAATTTCTAAATTCATCCAAATGTGGTGATTTTCAACACTGAATAATCAATAACTGGAAAGGCTGAGCTCACGTTGAGTAAGAAGCAGAACAACTTTGTTTTAGAAGTATGAGGTGATGCCTTTCTCAACACACTGAGAAGTGGCCCGTCCTACAAGGCCTGATTAGCAGAACTCGTTTGGCGGAGGGCTAACTTTGCCAGTCCGAGTCTGGTCAGTACGAGCAGCGGTTTGTGCCCGTGGGCCCCTCGCGCAGCGGCACCAGCTCGGTGCCGCGGAGCCGCAGCGCTGCGCGGGGACCGCGACCCTGTCCGCCCCAGTGCGGATGCTCTTCTGGCAGCCAACGCGGACTGGGGAAAGGTCTTTGTTCCCCTCTATCTCACGTTCTGCAGCAAGACGGGGTAAACCACCCCAATTCTCATGTTGTAAACGCGGCTTTGGCACAGGGCGGCAGTGCCGCCCGTCACAGCGGCGCGGGGGGCCCAGCAGGGTCTGTCCAGGAAGGTGCTCCCGTGCTGCCCGGCAAAACCGCRGGCCCCGTGGGACGCCCTGCAGCCCTGCACCTTCCTCCCCGCCCGCGAGCGAGCCGGCAGCCTCCGCGGGCGGCCGCTGCTCGGAGCCGGCCCGGGGGAGGCGGCAGCGCCCGGCGGGCCCGTCCCGGCGCCGCCTCCCGCCGCGGGCGGCCCCGCGCCCGCCCTTGGCTCCTTCTTCAGCGCCGCGGGCGGGCCGAGCCGGGCCGGGCCGGGCGATGTCGGCGTGCCGGCGGCGGCGCGGGCGCGGCTGGCGGACCCCGGCGCTGCTCGCGGCCTACGTGCTCTACGTGGGCCTGGGCGCGGGCGTGCTGCGCGCGCTCGAGGGCCCGGCCGAGCGGCGCGCGGCGCAGCGGCTGCTGCAGCAGCGCTGGGAGCTGCTGGCCAACTACACGTGCGTGCGCGGGCCGCCGCTCCAGCGGCTCGTCCAGGTGAGGCGAGGCCGAGGGCGCGGGGAGGCTGCAGGTGGCTCTTTTGGCTCCTGGGCTGGCGAGGGATGGCTTATAGCAGCAGGTGATAATTCTGGTGTTTAATGGAAAGGCTGCCTCACGGTAAGTGTAGCGGGGTTTGATGTTAGTGGTGTCAACTTTACTTCTTTCCCTCTTCTTTCCTTCAGAAGCCCCTGTCTTCAAATAGGGAGTCTTGTTAGGAGCCTCCGCGCAGCCCGGATGGACAGACCCACGCGAGGACCCTGGCAGCCCTCATCCCTTCCCTTGCCGGGTCACAGCCCGTAGCTCAGTGAGGATGACAGTACGAGCCTGGTCCTGGAGGCTGCAGTGGTACCTACCCCTTATTCATCACGCTGTCCGCTACGGAGTGTAAAAAGTCCGCGTAAATACCTAATCCTAGTGAAGCCAGAAGTAAAGCAGGGTGGATTTCTGATTTCTTTGGCATTTGGTAAAGGGAGTTCCAAATGGAGTTTTATTCAACACAGATTCATTGCACGGAGAGCTCCTACCCTGAGGTTAGGAGGATTTCCCTTGGCGATGAGCGAAATGAGGCAATAGAAGTGGAGAGAAGGACCTGCAAGATAGCACAGTCCCAATGAAGTCAATACAAAGATTTTTCTAATGTCTTCCTGATGATTTACTTTACTTCTCTGTGGCCTCTATAAATAATGCCTGGTATTTAAGAGAAGAGGACAGCTACCTATGTCTTTTTAGACCRCATAGGTGCTGGAATCATGTTTTGTGTCTTCTTGTGTGAGTACTTGTGACCTGCACAAGCCCTACATGAGGAATCTAAAAGAGGTTTTGCTTCATTTTTGTAGTGTGTCCATGAATGGCTTCATACTTTGTGAAACCACAGTTTCAGTACTGTTTTGACTGACTTTGTTTATTTTTAATAACTTTCACAGCAAGAAATTAAACATATAATCCAGAAGATCACTTCTTTCCTACACTCTTTTCTAATTTCCTTTGTGGCATTGCTTGAATGTTGTATATGTGATCAGAAAAAAAAAAAAA